CGATTTATTTTTTTATTTATTAAGAAAAGGACACATGGCGTTCATTTAAAAGGTACATGTTGTTAGGTAAGTACAAGCCAAAGTACAAGGGTACCTGACTGTAGAAAAGCCCTAATTTCTTTCATCAGATGAAAAGTATCAAATTCCTTTTATTTGTGGGTAATCTCTTTCACAAATTTATTTAAGGTCCAACATCTTCTCAAGCATAATTTATAGTTCATAGTTTTCATGCAAATTTAATTTTTTTTTAGAAAGATAGTAAAAAACTATATTTTATTATGAGATCTTTTACGAATAAACATAACTTAAACAGACATCTTGAAAAAATTGCGGTCATGAAATCGTACTGTAAGCATATTTATTTAGCAAGATAGGAATGTGGAGAGCGTGGGAGCTCTTGCATGGGAAGAAAGAAAATTAATTTTGCATGTCCCTCCATGTTTGTAAGTATCGGAATATTTATTTTTGACGAGGAATTCAAAAATAATATATTGAAGATATAATTTTACAAGCAAAAGAAAATTGAAAGTGAAGATCTGATCTTTTATATATTTATTTATAATTATATAATGTCGTTTTATATGTATATATCATGAGATATTGTGTGGTTTTACGTGTTTATATTTTGTAGGAAAAGGACGTGCGCATGGAAGTAATCAAATGCTTGGAAAAAAAATGAAGAAAGAGATGAAGCAATATTCACTTACCATGTTTTGAAGTCTTGCTTGGAAGAAAATTATCTTAGAAGGAAAATGAGTAGCTACTTGTGAAGTTATCTTAGAAGGTTGCTAAGAGTTTTAGAGTTCATCAATATTTTTTTTTTTTTTTTTTGGTACGAGAGTTCATCAATATTTGATCATTCAATATTTGATAGTTCAAGATGTTATTCTTAGATTTATTTCGATAATCAATGATTCAATGTTCTTACAGCATCGAAGAACGGAGTGTGTTTTCATTGGTTTTTCATATTTTCTTTCAGACATTTTTTGTAGTACTTTGGGATTAAGTGTTGCTTTGCTCGAGAGATTCGAGTTTGTAAAAGTTTATGGGATGTGGCCAGAGAAGTAATTGGTAGGATCGAGCATAGTGTTGGTTATGCTAGAAAGAGGTATAGTTGTATAAGTCCAAGTTGTACGGCCGTGCACAATCGATCTATTAATGAAAGATTTCTGAGTGGTAGAAGGATGCTCCCCGAAGAGTTTTTCTCTTGTTTGCGCTTCCGCAAAATTACTTATCTTGGTGTTGCAACACAGTTTAATAATTCAGAATTTATGTGTTCTAACACAGTTTTAGCGCACTCGTTTTCCTAGCTAACTAGTTTTTATTTGGTTTATTTTTTAACTATAGTTAATTTGAATAAAATGTGGTATGATTAGTTGTTAGTAGATATATTAAAATAATATTTAAATAAATAATTATTGTTAGTTAAAATTATGTGAGTGAATAATTAGTGAATTAAAATTGATGTGGTGTAAGAATAATTGATTGATATTATTTAATTATATTGATAATATTGAGGATAGTGGGGTTTTGTTAAAGTTGAATTAAATTTGAGTTTTGATTGATTTTTTTTAGTTGAATCCATAAACGGTCACCCTCTTAATTACTGTGCAATTTCTCAAAACTACATATATTTTTTGCATATGGCATTTGATATAAATGTGTGTGAATGTCTTACAAGAATAGGTTCTTCTCAAGTATATGTACTTTCTTTCGAAAATACCATACTTTAAGAATAAAAAAACAAGTATATAACATTTGGTAGTATGATTATGTATATTTATATTTTAGTAGGACGGGTCGACTCGCGTAAGTAGGGCTACAAGCGTGTCAGGTCGATTCGAGTCGAATCGAGCCGAATATGGACTTGTCGATCGCATATCAAACTTTTTCATCACTACTCGAGCTCAACGAGCCATGTAAAATGGTGCTCGACTAGTGAAAAGAATTAAGAATGCTCGAGGGCTCAACTAGATGCTCGACATGACTTGAATTCGGCTCGAAATTTTAACAACTAAAGTTTAAATATAGATATGTTATTTTTATTCTAAATATAAAATTTTTCCATTTGTGTTTTAATATTAATTATTAAAATATATGTGATATTTATGTAAATAAAAAGTCGAGCAGCTCATCCTACTTACGAGCCTTTTGAAATGATGCTCGAGACTCGACTCGATTTGTTTTCTCGACTGAACCTGCTTGAGCTCGACTCGAGTTTGAGTTTAACCAAAGTCGAGTCGAATATTAATTCGAGTACTCGCGAGCGACTCGACCCATTTGCAGGTTGTGTATAATAAATTATCTTATAGTTAGCCAACAAGATAGGAATTTGAGGAGCATGATGGCGCCGCCTTCAAAGGAATCAATTGAAAAATATCTCTCTTTCTTTCTCTTCTCTCATACATCCACAAAACACGCTGCAAATGCAACAACTCACATCATCCATCCAAAACCTCTTCTCTCTTTCATTTAAAAAAAAAAAAGTAGAATAAAATATTTCAAACAAGTGTAAAATGCATTTTACAACACACAAAAGTGTGTTATCTCAATGTCAAAAGTGCTTAACAATGACTTGCTCATGAGGTGCACAATTTTGTCTATGAATTCAAGAAAAGAACACAACACCATCTCCTTAAACCCTACCAAGAAAGCAAACAAACAAACCCTTCTCATTTTTGTATATTTATTATTCATTGCTCCAAAAAATTGAAAAACCATTATCAAAGCTCATAATACCAAGATTAATAATTTATACATAACCCACCATCATAAAGGAAGCAAGAAATCTTTTCTTTTCTTTAGAGTGTCCCTCACAACAAAAAGATATACATAGAACACCACAAAAACCCTCTATCTCTATTTTTCAATATTTATTTATTTTTTCTTGTTTCATTCTTCTTCTTCTTCCCCAAATAATGCTTTCTCAAACCACCATTCTCTTCTTCTCTCTCCTCTTCTTTTCTCTCTCTTCATCCATTTCATCTCCCATTTTCTTCAATCTCACACTCCCTCATCAACACCCCAACCCAGAAGCTGAAGCCCAAGAAGTTCAAAGGTAAAAATATTATACATACAAACAAGTGGTCTCTATATATATGCAATAATCAATACACACAGCTCAAAAGCCCATCTGGGTTTTAATCTTTATCACATTTTGTTGATAAATTTAGTGTTTTCAAGTGATTTTATTCATGGGTTTGTGCAGTTACAGTGAGG